AGACTCACTCCTCAGTTGGGGGGGGGCGTGATGGGAGGGCTGGAGGCTGTGTCACAGCAGGAGGAGGAGAAGAGAGAGCGCAGGTGCACATCCCCCTCCTGGGCCTGGCCAGCTGGTTGGGGGGGGCCTGGGGGAGGGAGTCTCCCCCCTTCCTGCAGGATCGATCCGGGAGGCCCAGCAATGGCGGTCCTCCTCCTCGAGAGTGCCAAGGGAAGCCCCCCCGGGGCCAGGACACCCCCCCTTCTGGCGAGTGCCTGCGAGCCGGCCTGCTGCTTGGGGCTCCTGCCAGTCCCGCCTCGGTTGGCCTGCATGTGGGAAACAGCCGCCCCTGAGAGTTTCCAGGGGGTCTTCTCTAGAGGAAGCAAGAGACGTCGTGAGTGGCGTGTCGGCTGCTCTTTGTTTGGCTGGGGGGGGGCAGGAGGAGATGACTAGCATCCCCTGGCCTTCAGGCTTGTTGAGCTTGGGGCTTTGGGGGAGGGGAGGTTCCCCTTCTGGAACCCCCTCCCTCCCCAGGTGGACAAGTGATTCCCTAGAGAGCATCTTCCTTGGCGTGGGACAGAGCAGGGATTCGTCAGGTCTGGCTGGACCAAAGGGAGCAGCCGTGATTATTCCTCATCAGCGCGGAGGGAGGCGTGGCGGGTGGAAGGCCGAGGCTCCCGGCATCCCAGGCAGGGTGAGGTTGCCCCCGGGGAGCCACCTGCAGCGCAGGGATCGGGACCCCCAGGTCCAATTCCCTGCAGGGGTCCGTCCTGAGGGAGGGAGGGCTGTTGGGAGGAGAGAACCTGGTGTGCGGCAGGAGCCCCCCCCCTCCGGAGGGCCCCCTTCCCTGCCACCCTGGCTCTCTTCTGGGGGGGGTCCAAACATGGCAGTTTGCAGAAAAACCTGATTCCGTGCTTTCTCACATGAGAAAGGCTTCTGCAAATGGCCGGGGGGGGGGTCGGCCTTTTCCCCTTTTTCATTCCAAGAGGTCTTCGGTGTGCTTTCACTTTATTTCTTTTTATTTCCCACCGCTAGCTTCAGAGCATAAGCCCCGAAGCTAGCGTGAGGGAAGGTCTACCTTCACGGGACAGAGTTGCTTGGGGAAGGCCCCTTTCCACCTCCTCAGCAGAAAAGGGCCGTAGCTGACCCCAGAGCCCCCTCCCAAGGACGTTGGCGCCTGGCCGGCCTCTTTCCTCTGATGCCGAAGACGCCGAGGAAGGAAGCGGGGAATGGTGTCAGATAAGCAAGCCCTGAGCGTTGCCATCTTGCGCAGACGGCACGACAGAAAGGAGCCCCCGGAAGCTGCTCTGCGCCCGGAGGGGCCGGGAGCCTCTTCTGCCCCTCAGGGAGGCCGCCGGGGTGGGGTGGGGGGCAGGGGGGGAGCGGTGGTTCTGTGCTCAGCCCTTGGCGTCCCCTTGGGGTTGCCATCCTACCGTTAGGAGCCTTGCTTCCCCTTTGTCGTCTTCCAGGCTTGGCTTCCAGCAAAGTAGGGCCGCCCTGTGACATGGAGGAGGAAGAAGAGGAGGAGGAAGAAGAGGAAGAGGAGGAGGAAGAGGGTCCCAGCCACCCAACAGAGGACCAGGGGCTCACCTGGGAGCCTGCTGGGTGGAAGGAGGCCGCCATCCCCGAGCGTCCTCTTCCAGGTGAGATGAGCAAGGAGCCCTGCCCGCAGCCTGGATCCCCGGGGAGGGGGGGTGGCTGGGAGGTTTGGGGGGGGCTGCTGCGAGGGAAGACGCCTGAGGTTTTGCAAGCCGGGATCTTGGGGCCAGCTCTGTTTCTAAGGGGAGTTCCCCAGGAGGCTTGGGGTGTGTTTGGTGGAAGGAGAGGGAACGGGCTGGCAGGTCCCGGCAGGGGGTGACCTTCAGAACTGCCCCCCCCCGCATGCTTCTGGATTGCAGCTCCCAGAATTCCCCAAGAATCCCCACAGGGAGAATTCTAGAAAGTACAGCCCAAATTGGCATTTTACAGAGGAAGTGGCCTTCCATACGGGGGGCGGGGGGGGCACTTCCTATCCATTATTTGGCTTGGAAGAAACATGTCCTGGCAGAGGCCAGGAGTGGCTGGGTTGCAGTGGGAGTCCCAGTGAATCAAGGGATAGGTAGTTCTCGGATAGGGGCTCTCTGTAGAGACTTTGGGGAGGGGAGCAGGACTACCTATCCCATGATGTCTTGGGACTCCCCTGCAGCCTGGCTGCTTCCAGCCTCCTCTGCCAGAGTTGCAGCCCAGAAGGCAGGGAGGCCTCACACGGGGGGGGGGAGACGCGGGAGGCTCCCCACAAAGGCGGTGTAGCGGGCGGGCGGGCGTAGAATACTAGAAAAATGAAGTGGGAAAGGGGGCCTCTGAGGCCATCCAGTCCAACCCCTTCCGGCTCCAGGCAGGAACCCAAATCCCAGCAAAGCCGACAGAGGTTGGTGCAGTTTCCCCTTTGAAGACGGCGCTCACCACCTCTCCCTGAGGCCGTGGGTTTCACCGTCATCCTGCTCTCCCCCTTAAGGAGCTTGGCCCTTCAGATTCTGCCCCCCCCCGTCCTCTACCCGAGGGTTTCCCTGTGCTGGCACCTGGTGGGGAGGTTGCCGAAGGAACCCCCCGCCCATCCTCACTCGGCCCTTCTTCTCCAGGGGGTCCAGGTGCCACCGGCTGGATGGCCGCTCCCCCTCCCCAGGGCCCTTCGGCGCCCTCAGGGGCCTGCCAAGGCTTGTGCACCTGGCAGTGTTGGCGCCTCCGAGTCCTGGAGCACCTGGAGCAGGAGCAGGCCGCTGGGAGCCACACCTGGGCAGCTCAGGTGAGAAGGCTGGAGGGAGGGAGGGAGGTGGGGGGAAGCCCTTGCCCCCTGTCTTTCAGGCAGCCTAACCCAGAGGTCGCCCCAGCTGCTCAGGGATTGGGGTGCAATTTCACTTTTGTGTTTATTGAGATGTACGCCCTGCCCACCAAGGGTTCACGAGTGCTCCGGAGCGCTTGGCGGGGTTCGCACGCACCTGCCCGATTCAGGCACTGCTCTCGGCGGCCAGTCTCCAGGCCCCACCCGTCTCCTCCCTCCAGCTCGAGTCAGGCCAACAAGCTCAGCGGGCATTAAACAGTTTTTTTGGGGGGGGGGCAGGAGGCTGTGTGCTGGCCAGAGGCGGCTGTCCCCTCGCACACCTCTCTCCGTACCTCCTTCCTTTGTGGGAGTTCCCGGGACAGAAGGGGCTGCCCTGTTGACTGATTGACCAAAATGGGCCTCTAAGGACTTTGGGGCTCACGTGGGTTCGCTGCTTCTCCTGCTGCTGGAGATCCGTTTCGGGTCCCAGCCTCCCCCCGTGTCTCCCCTAAACCCACGGCCGCTCCCTGCTGGGGGTCGCGTCAATCTGGGGGCCTTGCTGGGGTTCCTAACTTCCTGCCCCGCTCAGATTACATGGGGCCAAGTGCCCTCTGACTTGCCAGCGTCCTCTGAAGGGGGGGAGCGGGGCCAGCCAACGGATGCCAGTCTGTCCCTTCTGCCCCCGCCCCCCCCTCGTGGCTGTGCCAGGTTCTGAGCAGGCTCCGGCCTGTCCTTTTCAGGTGACCTTTGAAGACGTGGCCGTCTATTTCTCGTCGGAGGAGTGGGCAGAGCTGACGGCCTGGCAGAAGGACTTATACTGGGAGGTGATGAAGGGAAACCACAACCTCACGGCCTCGCTGGGTGAGGGGAGCCTCAGACTCGCCCACACACACACACCCCATCCCGGGTCGGTAGAAGCTTCCCCACCCTCTTCTTAACAGCTACCAGCATCTTCTGGTGCTCCTCCGCCTCCATCCGGGGGCCGTGAGAGACCACAGGAGAGACTCCGTCCCAGGCCGGAGGGCAAGGACGTCCTGGAGACGGCAGCAGGATGGCCCCTTGTGTGCCCGCTGTGCCCAGAGCCCTCGGGTTGGACCGTTGGGGGAGGCAAGAGGGCAGTTGCCCACGGAGTGCCAAGATCCCCCTGATTTGGGTGGGAGCTGATGGGTGGCCAAGAGAAGCTGGAACCTGCCGTTTCCACCCTTGGCGCTGCGGTTGAGGACCCTCCTTCTCCCCCTCTCAGATGCCCGAATCCTGGCTCTTTTCTCTTCCAAGCAGACCGTCAACCCCACGACACCGTTCACATGCTTCCTGCCTCTGGCTTTGCCCCCCTCGTGGCCAGGGCACAGAGCTGGGGGAAGTGTGGGGAGAGAAGGGTCAGCCACCCTGCCGCCCCTCTGCCACCACACAGGCGTTGATGGCCCTGCTTCTTTTCCCCCTCGCACGCAGCGCCTGCCTGCGGTCCCGCCTCGGAGGTTCTGCGCCGGATGGAACGAGGGGAGGCCCCCCCGTCTGAGACACCTCCGGATGAAAAGCAGGAAGACCCGCCCCCTTGCCCTGGTGAGTGACGCAGCGGCTGGGCCCATGGAGGTCCGCTCACCCATCACCGGCTTTCCTGGGGTGATTCCCTATTCTGGGCAGCGCCCCAAAACCGGAACGTCCGTGCAGGGTCAAGAACGCAGGGCCGGTTGGCTGTTGGGGGTCTGGCAGAGGGGTTCCTGATTCCCCCCCCCCCGGTCTCCTTGAGCATTCTCAGGGCACAGACCCCAAAGAGGTCGGCTTGAGTCCGGAGACGTCTTAACCCAGGCGAGGTGGACGCAGGAAAGGGGCTGCTGGGCAGTGCCCGGGTGCCCTCCGTGCTGCTTTCCGCACCTCCTTTTTTTGGTGAGCGTTTAACCCTTTGGGAGCCACGCGTTGGGTCTCAGTGGGAAGCTGCTAGGAGGACCAGCCTCACGCTTGCCTCTGAAAGAGGGCCGCGCTGGCATTGCCCAGTCTGGTGTGCGGGCGTGTGGGCTGCCTCCCTTCCTCAGTCCTCAAATCCCAACCCGCTTGGGGCTGCTCTGTTCCCAGGAAAGGTGGGAAACAGCCAAACCGCTTGGCCCAGACGTCGAAAGCCAACAGGATGGTTATCCCTGAACCCGGTCAGGAAACGCAGAAGCTGGCACAGCCAAGAGAGTGCCACGTGGCAGAGGAGGCTCCTGCCTCGCCAAAATTATAGCGAAATTCTAGCCTGAGCAATTGTGCCGGGAGACATTTGCTCCCGATTTATCCTGGGAAGAAACAGGCACACAGGCTTTCCTTCTGGTCCTCCTGTGCCAAAGCCAACCCCCCTCCCCCAAAAAAATGCCTTGAAGCGGGGAGAGCGTCCTGGGATCCTGCTGGCTACCTTCCAGCCCATGTCCTGAGAAATGGCTCCATCTGAGCACCCTGAGTGGTCGTTCTCTCCGCCGTTTTCCTTTCGCTGACATTCCTGGTCCCTCTCTCTCCCTTTTGGTCTTTCTGGCGCAGCTTGTGGGGACCCTGCGCGACCCAGAGGGAGAAGCCGCCTGGGAGCAGAGGATTCCCTCAGCAGGACCCAAGAGGACGATGCGGCAGCGGGAGGCCTGCTGGGTGTCCCCAGCCCTGGTAATCGTGGCCGGGGCTTTGTGAGCAAGCCTTGCAGAGGAGGAGGTGGGGGTGGGGATGGTGCCAGAGCCAGCCTGGACCGGTCTTGGCTTTGGAGCTGCCTGTACACCCCCCGCCCTCCCCTTTCCGCATGCCACTTAGGTTAGGCCTGTGGAAGGGTCTTTGGGAGGCCTCTTGAGACCAGAACCTGGCGCTGGTGGGCACAGCAGCCCCCTTGCCTTAGGCAGAGGGACTGCCAGGCGGGGGGAGGCTTTCTGGCCTTGATACTGGGGCCCCTCCATGCAGAGATGGCTTTGAGGGAGGCGGACGAAGGCTCCCCAGGAGCCCAGCAGAAGAAAAGGTGTCTGAGGGGAGAGGAGGGGTCAGCTGCCTCCCAGAGGGTGGACTCCTCTCAGGAGAGGCCTGCCTTCTCTGGGCACACCCTAACCTTGAAGCTCTCCTTCCACTTCTCTGCTTTCTGTGAATTGCCTGTGAGTATCTGGAGAGGGAGGGAGGGAAGGCTGTTTGGGATGCGACTCGGCTGCCAATCAGGGCCACGGCAGTGGATCGACCCCCTCGGGGAGCAAACAGTGGGGCTCCCTTGCAGGAATCATTTGGAGCCATTGCTCAGGTGGCTTCGTGTGGCTGTTTGGGGCTTAGGTTTAGCACTTAAGTGAAAGGGGGGGAACTGCACCCGGGGGGGCAGCCAGGCAAGAGGCAAGCTAGATTCTCAAAGGTCTGCAGAGCCCAACAGTCAGTGTCCCCTAGGAAATCCAGGCTGCGGAGGGGACTTGTCTGTTGCCTGACCTTCATCCTCAGTTCGGGTCCTGGAAGAGGGAGAACCCATGTCCAGGGAGGCTTGCAGTCAATTTTGGGTGAGGAAACCGGGGGCTTCCCTTTTGCTAGCCCCACTAGCCGCTTTCCCTGACCCTCTGGCCCTGTGCTTGCTCAAGCAGATGCCCTGGCGTGCATCAAGGGTGAAGAGAAGCCGGAGGCTGCCAAGAGGGAGCCAGGGGGCGTGCCCGCACACGACTGCAAGGAATGCGGCCAGAGTCTCCCTGGGCGGGATGCCCGGATGGCTCACGTCCTCGGCACCCGCCTCCACCCGCAGGCCCTGCCCTGCCCTCTGTGCGGGAGAGTCTTCGGCAGCCCCAGCAGCCTGGCTCTGCACCAGCACACCTGCCACCGGGAGCGAGTCTTCACCTGCGTGGACTGCAAAAGCAGCTTCCTCTACGAGGAGCAGGAGGCCAGCCGGATCCAGGCGCAGCTGGCCCTGGGCCAGCTCTTCAAGTGCTTCCACTGCAGTTGCCGGATCGCCCTCCTCGTGGACCAAAAGCCCAGCTCGCTGCACGGGGGCATGGCCTTTGGGCAGCCAGACACCCTGTACTACAGGTGAGGAAGGGGGCTAGGTGCTTGGGATGGGGGGGAGGCTTCTCCCATCACAGAACGGAGTCTCTCTTTCACAGCTGTCATACCCCACACACCGAAAAGCTCGGCTGTCCCTATCTGGCGTGATTTTTAAAATCTCTGGCCACGGGGGTGGAGAGGGGTGTGTGTTTGCGCCCCACTTTTATAACCAGCGTTGAGAGAGCTGTCCATTCCTGTGGGTCCCAAAAAAGTTTGTTTCTTAGGGGGGGATGTGCAGGCCACACCGAGGGGGCTACAGAGGCACAGGCAGCTCGTGAGAGATGTCAGTGCATTTCTTGCAGCGGGCAGTAAAAACTAAATGAAGAACCACAGATGACCCTCCTTTGTTCTGTTCCTGAATGTAAAATCATTAGCTGATACAGCCCTTATTTGTTCCTCCTGGAGTACCAGGATCTGTTGTAGAGTAGATGGATACCCTGATCCCCAAAATCGAGGAGCTATGAGAGTGTGATGGAACGTCTTTGCTGGAACACAGACGGCCACCACATCCCAAAATCTTGGGACAGACAGAGGAGAGGAAGCTGTCTCCCTGACGTGCTTCTGAGCTCCTCAAAAGGATCTGTCAGTGCATGGAGTGGGAAGGGGGTTGCCAGAGAGCTGACCCCTTCCCTGCAGGGCAGCCCCGGCGCGCTGAGGGAGAGCCAAGCCTTCCAGGGAGCACAGACTACAGGGCTCTCTGTTCAGAAGCTTGGAAGCCGTCCTGAGAGGTGGGGCCCTGCCTGCTCTCACTCTTTGGGTGGGAGAGGAACTGAGCAGCAGGGAAAGAATTTTAAATCAGCTCTGCCGCCGCTGCCACCAAACCACAACCCTCCCACTCTGGGAAGTTGTGTTAGGAAACAGCCTTCTGACAGTTCCCTGTTCTTCTATGGAGAAGGGTGAAGCCCAGAAGTGAGCCACCCCCTGCAGGCAGCAGCCACCACCCCACAGTGTCTCCTGTGACCTCTCCACCCCTCACCCTGCAAAGGCTAAGACACTCCAGATTCTCGGCACAAATCAAACTCTCTCCTCCATAGGACATTTCTGGGGTCGACAGGTGTTGCTTCCTAGCTCCCCCCCCTCCCCAAGGGGCTTGGAGCCCTCCAGGAACATCCCTTGGCTCAGCCCGGCTCCTCCTGCTTCCCTCCTCGGCCTCCCCACCCACCCTACCTTTCCTTTCCTTCCGCAGTCGCCAGAGGGCCATGGAGCAGGTCCGGCAGCGTGCCGCTCACTGGACCATCTCGGAGACCAAAGCGTTTGTGGAGCTTTGGGGGGACGACTGCGTCCAGACGGCGCTTTACGACAACTATCGGAACGAGGTGCAGTACAAGCGCCTATCAGACAAAATGAGGAAGATGGGCTTCCACCGTAACCTGGAGCAGTGCCGGCAGCGAGCCAAAGACCTGAGACGCGGCTTCAAAGAGATCAAAGACGGCAACCTCCACTCCAACCGTGCCCGCCAGACCATGCCCTTCTTCGCTCTCTTGGACCGCTTCCTGATGATGAGCCGGGGGCTGGTCATCCCCAAGGTGTGCGTGAACAGGGCCAAGCAGAAAGGCCGGAAGGGCCGGGGCCGCGGGGCGGAGGAACCGTCCTTGGCTTTCATGCTGCCCCCCGAAACCCTCGGGTCCCGCCAGCTGCCCCTCCCAGGCCAGGACTCTTACGCCCGCGTGTTGGGACTTGCTGACTACCCGCTTCAGAGGCGCAACAAACGCGGTTACAGCGAGGATGTCGATCTTTCCGACTACCCGCTGCAGTTGCCCGACCCGGACCCCTTGGCCCATGTGATGGAGATACCCAGCTACCCGCTGCGTGGGCAGAATGAACGTCCTTCTTCCCACGCCACGGGACCCACAGACTTCCCGCTTCAGCTGCAAGAGAAAGACACGTCGCTGGGGGTAGAATCTGGCTGGGTCCCTGGTCACAGTCGGCCTCCGGAGATGCTGCTCCCTCCCATCAACGGGTTGTCCGCTGCTGTCAGCAACCTTTGGGCACAAATTGCCACCATGCCCACGGGACGGCCCACAAATACGGCAGCCCAGGCAAGCGTGCCAAGTAAGTATGGCCTCTGCTTCCGGATCCTGGGGGTGTAAACTGTGCTTAGTCCCGGGTGCAGAGCCTTCTTTCCAGACACCCTTTCCAGCCCATATATATCAGCCTCTGTCCCTCAGTTTTTGGACCAGTTCTTTTGGAGGAGGCCTCCAACTCTCTCCCCCTCCCCGCCCCCAGTCTCACAGAACTTAGCACATTTCTGGCACTTTGGAAAAAGTTCCTCTCTGCCATATCTCTGGAGACGTCCTGCAGGCCTTGGAGCAGAACTCTTGGGCCATTTCCCTTCCCATTGTGGAAACTGCCCCTCTGTGCTAAACTGGTTTGTGAATCACTGGACAGCGTGGATGTTTATTGGTCTCTATTGGCAAGCCAGAGGTTGGGAGTTCGATTCCCCCCCCCAACTGGGCCTCCTTGACAGGGGCTGCCCCCCCCACACGATCCGTAGGGACCCTTCCAGCTCTGCAGTTCTAAGATGATGATAATGATCCACGAAGCAAGGTTTGTAGTGGTGATGGGAGTAGCCCTAGAGGTGGCATTTTAAAAAGTTGCTATACTTGCCTCCTGTAGAAGTTTTGGAGTGGTTTACAAATACCAGCGTGTGTAAACGTCAAGAGTACACCCGCATAAAAAAGCCCCATCTTTTTTACCCACCAGCCTGGCACCCAGGAAAGGCCCCGAGTTCCTCCGCCAAGCGGATGCGCGACCTCCGGCTGCGTCGCAGGAGGCAACGAGCCGCCATGGCCCGGGTGCTGCTGGGGGCCAGTTACCGCCCCAACGACCGGACCGTGTGGAGCAAGACCCAGAAAACGGACTGGTGGGACAACCTGCTGGCCGGCCAGCCCGACAACGGGGAGTGGATCCGCTATTTCCGCATGTCACGAGCGGCCGTGCTCGATCTGGTGGAGAAGCTGCGCCCGGTGCTGCAGCGCGAGGACACCAACATGCGCGCCGCCATCCCAGTGGACAAACGAGTGGCCCTCACGCTCTGGAAGCTGGCCACCTCGGACAGCTACCGGTCGGTCGCCAACCAGTTTGGCGTGGGCGTCTCGACCGTCTCGGTCATCGTCATGGAGGTGTGCGAAGCCATCCACGACGTGCTGCTGAAACACGTCGTCCAGCTTGGGGAGGCTCAGGCGGTGATGGAGGGCTTTGAGAGGATCGGCTTCCCAAACTGCATCGGGGCGGTGGACGAAACCCACATTCCCATTCTGTGTTCTCCGCACGGCACGTCCGCCTACATCAACGGGAAGGGCTTGGTCTCCATGGTTTTGCAGGCCCTGGTGGACAGCGCTGGGCGTTTCATGGATGTGTACGCAGGGTGGTCGGGGGGGACCCAGGATTCTGGGTTGCCGTGGGGCTCCCCGCTTTTTGAGCGAATGGAGAAAGGTGCATTTGGTCCACAGACCACCACGGAGATTGAAGGGGTCCCCGTGAGCCCTGTCCTGCTGGGTGGCCCCGCATGTCCCCTGAGGCCGTGGCTCATGAAACCCTACCCGGAGGCCTCCAGCAGGGCCCGCGAACGCTTCAATGCGCTCCTGAGCAAGTGCCGCATGGCTGTGACCTATGCCTTTGAGAGGCTGAAAGGGCGTTGGCGTTGCCTTCTCAAGCGCCTCGATGTGGCCGAGAAGAACGTCCCTCTGGTCATTGTGGCCTGCTGCATCCTGCACAACATTTGTGAGAGCAGAAATGAGGCCATGCAGGAGGGCTGGCAGGAGGGCATGGACTGCGCCGACCTGCCGTCAGCAGCCTCTGAGAGCCAGGCAGGCAGCTTGCCGGAGACGGAGGAGACGGGCGAAGCACACTGCATCCGCGAGGCCTTCTGCGCTTTCTTTGAGAAGAGATGGCAGGAAGAAGACCTGTGAGAGGGAGGGAGGGCGGGAGGAGGCACTTTGTGTGTGTTCATGTGTGATAGCACCCTGTTGCCCATCCTGGATGTCACCAAGACCGAGCTAACTCAGGTTACAATCCCCTTCTGTGGCGTTACTTCACGTGGAAGGATGGCAACATCCATCCCTCGGTGAAGGACATTTTTTACTGGTTGCACTGTCTCATCTTTTATAAACCTTTTATAAAATCTGCATAGTTTCATCCAGAACCTCAGTAAATCTTTCCTTCTTGAAAGAAGTCAATGGACTGCTGTGTTGGGACTTTTTGGGTTGTTTCTTGTGAACAAGAGCCTCTCTGTCAGGGACAAGGGACTTAAGCAGTCTGTTCTACAAAACTTGGGTTCATGTCGAATAACTGGCCATGGAGATGGAGCAGTGGGAGGAAAACAGATGAGCTGGGCACCGGCGGTTTTGGATCAGTTCAGATGGTCAAGAATGAATGACAAAACCTCTGCAGTTTAAAATGTAGGCATCCTTCAGTCTCAAGAGACTATGGTAATGTGCTCTGAAAAGTTTAAGAAAGGCTGCACAATCCACACCGGCACCCTTAGGCAACTGTTGTGGGTTTTCTGTGCCACAGGCAACAAACAGCACCATCTTTTCCCAGTGACTCTTCCATGAATGCAGGAGCTTTGGGGGATAAGTTGGTCAGAGAGGGTGTACCCCTTCCTGCTCATCTATTAGAGGACTGACCCAAGATCTTTAGCTGGCTGAGTCAAAGGAGAAAATGGTGGTTTGCGAGGGGTCAGGGAGGCCACACATGTGGATATAGGAAATCCCCCACTCAACAGGGGTGGAGGCCTTAGATACAGTCTGTCCCCTATTGATTGTGCTGCCTTTCATCCCCAGAAAGATCAGGATCATGCCCATCAGAAAGAACACAGTTAACAACTTAATAACCCATGACAACAGGGGGAGAAGGACTGCAGAGGTGGGATTATCCCTCAACCCCAGTCCTTTGCCCTTCTAAGGAGCTTTTTCAGATCCCGGGGGGGGGGGAGGAGTGAAACCAAGGTGGAGGATCTATCCAGGGATCTCCTACCAACGCTCCTCAGACTGAAGAAGCTACTTGGATGAGGAGCAAAACGTTTCAACCTAACAGGAAAGAAGTCCAGTTGTTATGACTCAACTTCCAGATAACCTCACCTGGAGGACTGAGCATCTTCACCAATACGCCCCTTCCTCATTCTGCACACAGAAGCTGAGTTGTGTGGTAAGATGTACTTCAGCCCAAACCTGGAGGACTGAGCATCTTCACCAATACGATGTACTTCAGCCCAAACTCTGATGGCTTCGACCTCCCCACTTATGCCAATCATGTCCTGAAGCGGTGAGTTCAGTTTTTGGACTGATGTGAGCCCGAGCTTTTCAGTGTCCCACCCGCAGCCTCCCAGTGTACAGGTGTGGCTATGCCTCACATGTGGATCATGACCTCATTTCTGTGTTGTAAGCGAGCCTTTAGAGCTGCTGCTGGCCCATCTAGTCCACAGCAGGGAGACGGTCCTTGAGGCAACTCCCTGCATTCAGAATCAAGCACTTTTTTGTTGCATAAATCAGTCTTATTGAAATTGCTTTTTAAAAAAAGTGAATATGACATTTCTCTTTGAGCATCACTTGGACATTAGCCCTACCATTAGGTTACAAAACTGAATTGCTGCCTTCTGCCGGGGATGAACAGAAGAGAAGCTACTCCATGCAGAGATATTCAAGACCAGCAAAACTGGAGAAGGGTGAAGGTCACCTGCTGATGAAGGGATTCAGAAAGCCCACCTCCTCCCTCCATTCCCCACAAAAAAAAAGCCATGTAAAGGGAGACCCTGGTTCTCTCATGAGGAAAAGGCCAACAGGGAACCATGTTAAGTTGAACCCCCTTCGGTTTCTGCCCAGCAATCCTAAAAAATAGTTCCAGCCAGGTGGAGAGACCAGGCTGCGGCTCTCCCAGTGGCCTGCTCCTGTCATACCTGGGGAGAAGCTGCAGGAAGAGGAGCTGAGGCTGTTTCCCAAAGTTGGGAGGGCCGAAGCACGACTATGCAAGAGAGGAGAGACTCTGAACCAAAGTGTGTGCGCACACACACACACACACACCGGAGTGCCGCTTTTTATTCTGAACCATAACATCCCATCCCCGGCCCCAGCGGGAGGAGCAGGTGGCCGGAGCCCCCTCCCCGTGTCCTGTGGGGAGGGCCTGTGCCCCCCCCCGCCTTCGGGGAGGAAGGCCTCTGGGCTTGATCCGGGCTTCCTCGTCGTCGTCCTCGTCCTCCTCTCCCCGGGCTAGAGCTTCTGCCGCCGGGGCTGCTGCTACTACTACTACTATTTCTTCTTCTTCTGGACGTGGGCGCAGTCGTACTTGCCGCGGACCACCTTGAGGGCCACGCCGGGCAGGTCCTGGGTGCGGCCGCCCTCGACCAGCACCACGCTGTGCTCCTGCAGGTTGTGTCCCTCGCCGGGGATGAAGACCACCACCTCCCGGCCGGTGCTGAGCCGCACCCGGGCGCACTTGCGGTTGGCCGAGTTGGGCTTCTTGGGCTTGCGCACCATCGTCTTCAGCACCACCCCTTTCAGCTGCGGGCGGCCCTCGGTGGGGCCCAGCTTGCGGGGCGGCTTCCGGAAGGGGCCTCGCCGGTGCAGCTGGTTCA